CCCCTTCATGTTTAGCTAAGCACCCCCTGCACTATAAAAGCAGCAGCAGAGGATAATGAAAACAACCTAAATCTGAAGTGGTGGCTGAGCTGAAATCTAAAACATGGAGTTAGGAATCCAGAAACCTCAGGGCAGTGGTTATTTCAGAGAATAGATTAAGGGGTCCGTATACACAAGTGGAAAAAAAGAACAGACCATTAAAAAGATGGCCTTTTTTTCCAGTTCTATCAAAATTCAAACACAGAGGTCTGGAATTTCAAGGAGCATCTGTATCATTGACACAAACTGTAGACCTGGAAAACCCTCACCTCTACTACAATGAAAAGCAACTGACATGAACACCCCCATCTGTTTACTAATCAGGTTACTGGCTTCTTTTTTCTACTGCTCTTCATGTTAAAAGCTCCATCTTTTCTTTCTTTCTTTTTTTTTTTTTTGTACTGGGCACTGAACTCAGGGGCACCAGACCACTGAGCCACATCCCCAGCCCTATTTTGTATTTTATCTAGAGACAGGATCTCACTGAGTTGCTTAGTACCTTGCTTTTGCTGAGGCTGGTTTGAACTCGTGATTCTGCAGTCTCAGCTTCCTGAGCTGCTGGGATTACAGGAGTGTGTCACCGTGCCCAGCTAAAAGCTCTATCTTAACAGAGCCCCTGTCCTGACAATTTTCGTCACTCTGTCATTAACCTGGATGGTAATGAGGCTTTTAGCTGAGCAGGATGTGGACATCTTCAGGAAAAATTGCCCCTTCAGGAGCAAAGGTGGTAGGGCCTGCCTGAAGGCAGAATCTGTGTCTCTGAAAGCTGGTGAAGGACACTTGGACTTATGTGTCTTCAGCATCACACAGATCTGCACTGACAATGTCAAAGGTCAGAGCTTTAAGGCTTGTGGACAGGGTGAGTGAAGGTACCAGCCACATGACATCTGCTCAAGGATCATCATGTTGTAGACAGATAGCAAGGAGGCAATCTCTGCAGCTCTGACTTGGGTATCTTGTGTAGAATACAAATTACCCAAAGGCAAATCACTAATGTCAGCACTTTTCTGAGGCAGCATTCTGTCCTTAGTATGAAAAGGTTCTTGTTGCCTGAGGAACTCTAATGTAAACTAACAAAATATAAATATATACAATAAATTTGCCAGCTTAATTAAAAAGTCCACTGATATTATAGTCAAAAACAGAGGGCCCTGAGGTAGATAGCTGCATGGTGAAGGAAGGGAGCCTGTTAAGGAGTATGTGTGGGGTACAGCTGGAGGCAGGTGCTGTGGCCAGCACACCTCCCTCCTCTGCAGAAGCCCCTTGCCTTCCCTCGCAGCCACTGCATCTAATTCAGACTGAGGTCTTCTGTGTTCCCATAACATGCTGGGTTTGCTGTTTGGCTTGCCCTAGCCTTATTGGGTAATGATTTAGTATATTTTATATTATTCTTAAGTCCCTTTGTTATTTTTAAATGTTAGAAACAATGGAAGAAGAATTTCAAAATAAAATGTGTCAACTTTTCTGAGTAGAAAAAGTAAAACAACCGAGGCAGAAAATTTGAGAAATAAAGAAAAATCACTAATGACAATCTTACTATCCAAAGATAATATTTTGATATTTTATTCCTTTTGGCTTTTATTCTCCATACAATATACACTATTATTTAAAATATAGTAGGGATCATATCACATATCACACTTAGTACTCTGTTTTTCATTTAGTGATGCGTTAGAGATTATTTTCATATTACTGATATTAAAAGACAAACAAAATTGTTAATTGCTGCATATATCTGATCTTATTAATGGTACATATTTTATTTAGCCAATCTCCTACTGTCTTCCATGAAGTTGTTTTTGGTGTCATTCAAGCCTTTGACAGGGATTCATGAATGAGAGCCAAAGTGTAATATGCATGTGGTCAGTGGATGATGCCTATGCCTCCTCCATAGCCCACAGAATCGATGGAAGAAAAGCACTAATTAATAAGAGAGGGCTCTTCCACTGCACTACTTAGGACTAATTTTGGAAGAGTTAGATCTCTAATAAGTTTTTGTGGATATGCAGACTAGAGGCTTAATTAGATTAATTAGATTATTAGAACAAAGGGTGTTCTGTACTGATTTCCTCCTTTCTGGAAGGGATATGGTAGACCCCACACATGGGTAAGCTTTCCCAAGTCAATTCTCTTCTAAAGGCAACTCAGAAAATCTGGTGGAGCCACAGCTTGCCCAATGACAACACAAGGTAGGGACATATGTCCACAGCTTTCCTCTTTTCAAGCAATGGGACTTAACTTATTCTTTATAGTGTAAGGGCTCTTTGAATACCCTAATAAACTATGCTTTCACTTTTTCTCGATCAAGTTGATAAAATAGTTGTCCCAGTCCCATTAAATAACTGAGAAAGTGCTAGGAGCAATTCAGTAGATTTCTGCAGATTCAATAGGTCTGCAGGAATATTTTGGTACAGACTAATTTTGTTGAAATTTTTCAATTAATTCAAGTTATGGAAGATACTCCACAGGTAGGATACAATTATCTTTGTGTTCCTGAGTCTTTAGGATCCAAAGGGCTACCTGCAGGGGAAATGCAGAGGTACCATAATCCCAGGAGAAATGGGCATGCATCTTCATAGTCTACAGAAAGAAAAAAAATTCTGTTCCCTGTCAGTAGAACAATTACAGTTCAAGAATTAAGGGCCCTATGAAAAAGTTGAGTAACTCCTAGATGAAAACCATTAGTGAGCCATGAAACTAATTTTGTGAGTTAAAATAATCAAATGAAAAAGAAAGGTCAGAGAATATTGAAAAATGAAGCAAAGGCAATTACTGGTTCATGAAAACATACATGTGGGTATGCACATGTATGTACAATAGGTCTGAGTGTGTTTGCAGGTTTATATGTGAGTATATACCAAATTACAATTTAAAAAGCTTCTTACCATGAGTAATGGTCACAAGTTTGAAACCCATCTAGACTGACCATTACTTCAGGAAAACGTAGATATAAAAAATGGACAACTTTTAAATTTATACATTGATCAATGAATAATTTTTTAATTCCATAAACAGGTACTAGAAGATGTCACCCAGACTTGAAGAATTTAAGAATCATTTCTCTCGTATAAGAGTTGAGAGGGTTGACAGAAAAATTAATACTCTTTTAATATTCACACATGAAATAAACAACTAAACATAGGATTATAAAAAATAATAGCCTAACCTTAATACAGCAAAAAATCAACAGCTTTTTCATACTTTTTTCAATAACTACTTGGCTAATATGTTAACCATACTTCTAGTATATTAACCAACTCAGCCAGGGCAACATTTTATTACCCAGCTGGGATTGCTGTGTTACCATCTTACTCAAAGTAAATGACTTCACAGGAATTTTATTTTATTTTGTTAAATTTCTGTTTTAGATGTTGATGGACCTTTATTTTATTTATATGTGGTGCTGAGAACTGAATCCAGTGCCTCACACATGCTAGGCAAGCACTCTACCATTGAGCTACAGCTTCCACAGGAGTTTTATTAAAGTTACTTTTATGGTACAGATGACTGATGGAGTGGTAACCTTGGGACCTCATGATCTTTTAACTCACCCATATTTATAGTGCAGAACTCTGTAACTTCAACAAAACAATTTAAATAGTTTTTATAAAAATCTGAGCTGATCAAAAGAAGATATATAAAAATATTTGCTATCTGACTTCAAGTTGTCCTGACTTCAAGTTGTCTACCTCTGTACAGATGGGCAGTGATTTCTTCATTGAGGGAAAAGTAAAATTCAGGCTTGTGTTGACATTTAAAAAAAAAAAGTATCTCTGTCAATTACCAACAGGTAAAGTGAAGCATCAGGTTCCCCTCTTGATCAACAACCTTGAATTCCTGTATTTCTTACATTACGCTTGAATTTTCTACTGTAATATTTTGATGACATAAGAGAACAAAGAGATCATTTAAAGGAAACACCACTTTTTGATTAGTCTCCAATTCTAAGTCAATCTTTAGAGAGCTGCATGCTGCACTCTATTACCTTTATAAAACTATATTCAGAGATCATTGTGGTCTTAGATATAATGGTTAGTTTGTATCAAGGCTTCCCATGTGACATGCTGTGCTCACAAAATTATAAATATATATTACGTTGATACTCTGAACCTTCAGAGTTGGTCAAATTTTTGAGTGTAAATATTTTCTGTATGTGCCATGATGTAAAAAACATTGGGAATTTACATAAATAGCCATAAAACAACATCTCCTCATCTTCTAAAATCTGCTATTGAAGACCTCACTCATTAAGTTAGTCTGTTACATAAAATCTAAACTAATAAAAGCCTAAGTGATCAGCACCAAAAAGAGTTTTTTCCCTTTGAACTGGCATATTCTTAGATTATGACTACGAATTAACTTGTTGTTTTTTTTTTTAACTGGTTTCTAGGAAGCTTCCAAAGATTGGTGCTCACTATAATAACCTAAGTTATCCAGTACACTTATAGCCATTCCCTGCAGTCTATCACTGAGTTCAGTTCTCTTAACATTTCATTCAATAGTTTTGGTTATATCCATACCATGAAATATAATCTATAATCTTTTAAAAATAGACTGGATTAAAAGTAATAAATGAACAAGTGAAAATTTCAAAAAGAGATGTCTATATTATTATGCACTGCCTGGCTTTACTACTAAATACATTTTTCAACAATAGGAAACAAAAACAAAACAAAACAATTAAAACAACCTACGAAGAGCAAAAGAAAATTTGCCAGCTCAATCTTGTGAATTGTACCTCAAAAAGAAAAAACACACCCACTAACTTATTAGTCATTTCATATAATTATATATGGGGTTCTGATTTGAACAAAACTTCTAAGATGATTCATATCAAATTGCAATTATTATAGGTAAAAAATGACTGAATGATGAAAAATTTACATAGTTCAACCTGAATAAGAGGAAAGGATTTATTTGCTAATAGGATATGACTGTAGTAACAAAGAATTGGTTCTCACCTGAATGATCTCAGCATTCGATAGGACTTCCCTAAATCAGATACTCGTCTGCAAAATGGACCCACGGCCAACTCCATCTGGAATATTAAAAGATACTCCATAGCTTTTTATGTGGAATCCTTAGGTGAATTTGGGACATAGCTGAATCACACAAGTTGTAGCTTGCAGTAAACTTAATTACCTGGACCATGAAGCCAGTTTTAAAAGACGATTAAAATTACTAAAAAGATAAGAACTTAGATAAGTTTTACATTACTAAAGGGGTCCAAGACAAGACAATTCCTTCACATGAATAGAAAACCTTTTGGGGTGTGTGTGGTTGTTAAATAAGGGAAGAAAGTTAAGATCATTTTCTCCATTGAAATACTGGGAAAGAAAGTTTTCAAGACTGTGTACCTATATTTTAAGTAGGTATGTCAAATCTTTTTTATAGTCAACAAAGAGAACTTTTATGAGTCAGTGTGGCCCAAGTCATTACAAGCTTTAACTCTAAAACTTTCTATAGTACATCTGTGTCAGAATTCCAAAACTATAGGTTTTAGTAGCATGACTATTAACAACTTTCTTAACCTCTCTCAGTCTCAGGTCTTTCTTCTACAAAATGAGATAATACCAACTACTTAACAGAAATATGCAAATTAAACAGACAATTCCACAAAGGTCTGTGTGCATGGCATCTGAGTGCATGTTAAATGTCAGCAATTATCACTATTTAAAACATTTTTCCTCTCTTAAATTATTGGTAAATTCATCTGCTCCCTGACATAAAAATTTAGTAAATATTGGTTTCACTTCTCTTTATTTTCTTCCATTAAGTGGAAATTCTACTTATCATTACCTGGGCTATCTGTTCTTTATCTACCAAGTGCACATGCAAAGTTTTTGCAGATGTGACATTCAGGTGATAAACTGCTTCTTTCTTCCCTCTTGCTATAAATTTGTACCCTGGCAAAGAACAGTTTAGAAAATGGCTGAGAATAAGCTGTTCCCTGGTAGAACAGCATCTTTATTCAAGAAACACATGGAAGAAAGTGAGCTCTCTGTTCTTCTGGTCATTCTTATGAAAAACTGTTCAAAATCTTCTTTCTATTTGTAATCAATCATTCCTTTGAGAAGCATGTTTGACTCCCTATTAATTGCTAGGTACTGAGCTACACATAGGAATAAAATGATGAATTTAATGAGATTATTTGCCTTAAGGAACTTTCAAATTTTGTGAAAAAGGTGATATTTAATTATTCAAACAATATAATGACCATTTAATAAAATCGAAAGAAAGGTGGGTGTATGTAGGCACATAACACACACACACATACACAGTCTTATGATTCTATTGAATAATCACTGTTTGAATAAATATATATATAGATATAAATATACATGTGCACACAACCATTATTTTAGGCTAAATTAAAGTGGTGGGTCAAAATATATAAACTGAATGTCAAGGAGAATTGGAGGGTAGTTTGACTGGAGATGAACAGTGGCCAAGTTAATTTCTCTGTTACCGTATAGAAGTCATGGAGTATACATTGTATACAATGTATACTGTACATGGTTGGAAAACTCTAAAATACAAAAAAAAAAAAAAAAAAGTGAAAAAAAGAAAAATATAAGGAAGAAAAAGCCAGAATTCTTGCTTCTTGCCAAAAACACAAAACAGAATAGATGTGAGCCAGCATTCTTGAATTTACTTGTTTCCTTCAGAATCCATCATTTACTTTACTATGAGGACAAATTAAAAAAAAAAAAGATCATTATTTATCTTTGATTTGCTAATTCCATTCATAAACCTGTCTTTCTCTGTGTGTGTGTGTGTGTGTGTGTGTGTGTGTGTATGTGAAAAGCTTTTTTTTTTTTTTAAAGGACAGGCTATGTGATTTATTTTTCATGAGATACTTGGTCATTTTTTCCCCCCAATTACCCTAGTGGGTCACTGTCTTCAAAGATCAAACCAATCAATCTTTGGTCTAACCCTTGAGCAGGACTAAATGTTAAAACAATTAAATGGCTAAGAAAAAGTTACTATATGAGGAAAATACGACCTCAAATGGCTGTGAAGTTTATGATGATACAGAAGATCTCTATGTCATAGGACAATTTCAAAATGTTACATGTTTAAAATACATTTTGCATTCATAAAAGGCCTCAAGAATACTGAAAATCATTTTCTTCTGCCAGAATTCCATTAAACAAGTTCCATTAAATAAAGGCCATGTTTAAAAGGGCAAGAGTGTTCGTTTTAGAGGAGATGACTCTGCAATTAGCTATGGAAACAAAAATGGCATGTACAACTGCTACTCCCTAGCCCTCCTATTCGGGAGGAATGAGCAGTCAGCTGCAGGTAGATGAACTAATTACTAGCTGTTCCTTATCCACCCCAGACATTTGGTTAACCACAGGGCAYCTCTGGATACTCCTAGAGCTCTCCTGCCCCGACACTGTTCATGAGAAGAAAAGGCAATAGGAATTAGAACAGACATTAGAATTTAGAGCATCTTTGTTTTCTTTTCTCAATTTATATTTTTGGGAAAAGTGAGAGAGATATAAATGTATATATACTTAAAGGGCACCAGAAGACTATAAATAGAAACTGCTAGGAATACTACTAAATAATTTAATGCTAACGTCAATGGATGTCCTCTCCCTCAGGGAAGAAAAGAACAGTGGAGGGGGACTGTGTGCTTCAGAGGGCACTGTGGGCAAGTCTACAAAGATTCGGAAACAGCAGAGCCCCAGGGCCTTGGACAAGCTTAATGCTTTCAGAACTGCTGTGTGATTAGTGTAGACACAGAGACCATGTGGTCACAGCAGGGAATTAATTACCTGTAGGAAGCCACCTCATGCCCATGACCTGGATTCCTAAGGGGGTGATCTGCTGTGTACTTCCCTCACCATGAGCCCTCCAGATGGCACCCTCCAACTACTTTCTCTTTTCTGCATTGGTGCCAGTGAGAGGTTAGGATTCTTTAAAAAGTCCTCAAATATACCAATATTTGTCTTTGCTACAGGACATTATGCCAAATACCTGCATTCCCAAACCCACTTTACCAGGCCCTTCTTAAGCTCTTTCTGTTATTTATGCCAGAATACCAGGCACTTTTATCACAAGAACACTTTTCAAACCCATAGAGTATTTGTGTATTCTTGATTCCAGTGACCTCAGTGGCTTTGTTTAATTTTGAATACAAATTGACAGAACTTTCAATAACGAGGGTGTTAAAAGGGTTTCTAGTAGACAGTTGATGCTTGTCATGAATATAAATGTCGGGGCAATGCTATTTAAGTGTTTTGACTAAGCCTGGAAAAAAAACCTTCCAATTATGCACAATTCAGAAAAATGAGGCACGACACATAATTGTGTGGTGGCAAGAAAACAAACCAATGAAATGGAAACCCCAAATTCAAAATTTAATTTTTAAAAAAAGTGGGAATGGGGATCATAAAATCATCCCCCTTGTTGGACAACATTTGCCAAAGCTACTAGTCCTAAGTATCAGTATATATAATGGTGCTTCCACCTGACTTTCCTGTCTGTTCCCATGATCCATAGGACTGGAGCCATGCCCAAGGAAAGTGTTGGGACTTTTCGAAATTGGGATACACTGTATAGCAGTGAGTTAAGGCATCTGCCTCTCAATACTATACAGACTGAGGCAACCAAAGGCCACTGAGGGGTTGGAAAGCAGACTCACTGAGCAAATGCCATATAAGTAGATGCCTTTTCTACATTTAAGAAACAGAGAATAGAGTCTTTGAACATAAATTAGTAGTAATCAGTGATGAATTTCATTTATTGTCATGGAAGGGAAAAATCTGGTTTACTGAGTAACGTGTCTTAAGGAAAAATAAATGCAAATAAAATTCTGAATAATGCAATTTGGGCTAGAAGCAGCTCACTCCTGCCACAAAGGACCCTACACTTTGAGCAGGTACTAGTTGCAGTGGTAAGACTTCAAGGACAACAGTTCCCATAGACTCATAAAGAAACATACCATTAAAATAAAACCCCCAAACAACAAGCCTCTCTCCAACAGCCTTCTCATTTTGGCCATCTCCTGCTCGGCTGCCACTCTAATTGGACTTGAAGTGCTGCCTCCAGGAAAGTGACTCAAGAACCAGCTGGAGCAGAATGCAAATAAGCTGGTGGGGAGGGAGCCCCAGGGAGGGAAGAGGACAGGAAAAGTAAAACAAAATTAAGGAGGAGAAGGGAAAAGGAGACCTGAGTACAGCTATGTTTTAACAAAAAAGAGCAGGCAGGCCGAGGACATCAATGTGTTTTCATTTCAATAAGCAGCCTATAAACCCAGTAAGAGAAAAGTTCATAATAATTCTCTTTAAACTGAGTTTACTGGTAAAACAAAGCAAAATATACAGATGCCCAAAAATGAAACTGACAAAAATAAACAAGGTTAAAAAAAAGCCTTTTAATGGGAACATTTGATTAATTTGTTTTCATATGTGGCTACTAAAGGCCCATTTCCCAAAGGAAGCTTTTTTTGTGTGTGTGGTCTAGTAGACATAGGACTATAATTTGGGGATGAAAATGACTAATAGCTGGATCAATTATTAGGTAAAAAGCCTGCTTCTTGAAATCTGAAGCGGGTTTGTGTTACCTCTTCATCTTTTACATTCTGTCTGGTCTGAGGGAGCAACTGACAGCCATCACCTAACATAAACGGTCAGGCTAGATTCTTTGCACCATGCAAGAGTAATGAATCAAGACACATTCCCAGATACAGGCAAGAATAAATATCGACATTAACCTTTTATCTTTATAAGCAGGGAGGATCTGGCAAATCACTATGAAGTCTCAATTTGAATAACTAGATTAGGAAAGCTAATAGCTTTGAAAGATTTAAAAAATTATTTCACTCTCATCATGCTATACAAAGAAGAATCATCTTTGTTTCTGAATCTTTTAATGAAAGTATATATTTGGGGTATTTCTTCTTTGCCTCTCCTAAGTACTGAAAGGTTTTTAAAAATCTATGTAAATAATCCTTTCCATTAGAGCTGATTATGTTTCTGCTATTTTAGTTTCATTTTATCTCACAAACATCAGATGTCAAGGCTAGCCATAACTCAACTTAAGAGAGGAAGACCAAACAATCAGACTCCATATCTATCTGATTCACTGTACATCTCAACGAATCAGAAACACCATGATGAAGTGCTGAGCTGGCCTCTAGAGTTCTTTCTCTTCTCATGAGGAGCGAGCAGCCCCTTTCCATTATTTGAAAGGGTATTTCACAGCTCATATCACTTTTTAAATCAATCAATTACTCTTATCAGTATTGACCTATTAGGATGTTAAAACAATGAGAAAGCCCCATTTTACACAAAAAAATGGGAAATGCTATTTTATTATGGAATGAGTTACTTTACCTTAACCTTGAAAGATCAAAGATAAGGGATAATTATTTCATTAAATACAAACAACAAAATATAAAAATATTTTTAAAAACTTTTTCATTTAATCAATTAGTTTAAAGTGGATTTATTTTTTCTTCATGTTGTAACTTTTTTTTTTAAATATTTTTTTTAGTTGTTGATAGACCTTTATTTTATTTATTTATATGCAGTGCTGAGAACCAAACCCAGGGCCTCAAACATGCCATGCAAAAGTGCGATACTGCTGAGCCCCAGCCCCAGCCTTCTTTATGCTGTAACTTTTTAAAAACCACGATTAACAGCTCTTTACTGACTAGATAATATTGAGACTAAAATATCTTCTCCCTTTGTATCTTAAGTTATGTATCAATTTACCTGTGCAAAATCAGCAGCAAGTCGCATTTTCCCACCTTCACCAAGAGGTCTTATGAGACTGGCATTGCGGATAAACAGTTCAATCGCTCTTTGGGCAATAGCTTCAGTGTTGTCAAAGACAAACTCCAAGCAATCAAAGTGTTTAAAGTAATCACTCATAACTCTAGTAATGAAACCTTGTAGTTCCTTCATGTACAAAGAACAAGGAACATCAGGTTTTCCTGAGCTGGATAATGACCTGTAAAATAATAAAACACAACCATTTTCAGCACCAATACACTAAACTGCATTCCTTGATTTCCCCACTTTTGGCTGCTATTTCAAGTCTGCACAATTTTCCCCCTTAATGGTAAAAGGCATGTATTTTTTTGCTAAGTGTAAAAGATCATAGAACAATATTTAAATTATATTCTAAAGGGCTGGGGTTGTATAGCACAATGGTAGAGCACTTGCCTCGCACGCATGAGGCTGTGGGTTTGATCCTCAGCACCACATTAAAAAACAAACAAATATTTTTATCTTTATAAAAATAAAGATATTGTGTCCATCTACAAATTTAAAAAATTGAAAAATTATATTCTAAAGAATGTGTTTAGATGCTAGAAGGACTATTGAAGGAATTTTAGAATCCATTTACCTAAAAGATCACTAAAAATGAAGAAGACAGCCATCTTTCTTAGATGAATCACACAGGGCCATTCTTACTCTCTGGCTTCACAAGGACCCTCCCAGTCTCACAATTCTCCACCCATGCCCATGTTTTGCCTGGTAAGTGAATGCATCAATAATGAATCCTGAAATAGCATTTTACACGTTGCAATGGCAGAAAACACTGTCCTCTCTAAACAAATTCTTGGCAATCGTATCTCTGCTCTTGCGCTATTTAATCAGATCAGTCCAACAGCAGAATTCTGACTGCGGAACTGGTTATGTAACAATACACATGGTATGCAATTTCTTCCTCCAGATGATGAGGCTTGGAAAGGCTTTAATTTGGACCAACAGACGATGCCAGCTGATGCTCCATTATATACTATTCATAACTTATAAATGTTTACAACTGCCCTTTAAAGAATATATTAAAAGAATATGAAATATAGGAGAAAAGAATTATATCAAAATTAAAAATCACCTGATACTGGCTAATAGATGAGATCACTGGCTATATATGATTTTTCAAAATGCAAGTTAAGTGTTTCCATATTCTGAGAATGACATAAAAATTGGTGATGAATTAGAGATGAAAAACAGATATTTTATTCTTCTGTATGTGAATAACCAGTGTTCCCAATACTCTTTCTTGAAGATACTATTTATTTCTCATTGTGCATTCTTGGCACTTTGGTTAAAAAATCAGTTGGCCCTCAGTGTGTGGGTTCATTTCTGGGCCCTTTATTCTGTCCCATTGTGTCTATTTTTATAACAGTACCATTCTGTTTCAATAGCTTTAAAATGCAGCTTGACATTAGGAAGTATGATGGTTCTGGTTTTGTTTTGTTAAAGACGGCTCTGACTATTCAGGATTGTCATTCCATATGAATTTTAGAATATTTTCATTTCTGTGAAAAATGACATTGGAATTCTGATAGGGATTGCAGTGAACCTGTACATTGCTTTGAGTAGTACTAATATTTTAATATTATTCTTTAAACCCATCAACACAGAATGTTTTCATTTATTGTGTCTTCTTCAATTGCAGAATACAGATCTTTCAAATTTTTGCTTAAATTAACTCCTTAGTTTTTTTGTTTGTTTTTATTTTGGGTAGCTATTGAGAATGTAATTTTCTTTCTTTATTTTTGTGGAGAGCTCCTTGTTAGTGTGTAGAAATGCTCCTTTTTTTTTTCTTAATTCTTACTTTGTAACCTGCAACTTTACTATATTTGTTTATTAGGTCTACAAGTTTTTTGATGGAGCCTCTATAGTTTTCTGCATTTAAGATGATAYCATCAGTGAACAGTGACAATTTGAATTACTTTTTTTCCTACTTGGTTGTCTTCTTTTTCTTTTTCTTGACTAAGCTCCAGCTAGGAACTCCAGTATTAAACTGAATATTAGTGGTGAGAGTGGACATCCTTATCTTGTTCTTGATATAAAGAAAAAGCTTTTAGCTTTTTACTATCAAGTCTGATACTAGCTATAGGCTTGTAACACACGGTCTTTAGTGCTGAGGTACATTCTTTTTATTGCTAATTTATTAAGAGAGTTTTTATCATGAAAGGATGTTCATTTTTGACAAATGCTTTTAAGATGATCATATGACTTTTGTCCTCCATTCTATTGATGTGATATGTCACATTTATTGATTTGTATGTTAATACATCCTTGCATCTGAGGCATAAATATCATTTAATTATGGTGAATAATCCTTTTAAAGTGCTGTTGAATTTGATTTACTAGTACTTTGTTGGGAATTTCTGCATCTATATTCATCAGGGATATTGGCCTATAATCTCCTTTTCTTGTAGTGTCCTTGTCTGGCTTTGACATCAAGGTAATGCTGGCCTCATAAAAAGAGTTAGGAGTGAGGAATAAGAGGAGGAAGTGCCTGAACAGGGAGGAGAGCCAAGTTCCATTGTTAACGTGCCTGGTGAGTCTACTCTCCATCGGGATTTCCTGAGACTGCAGCAGGAGAACAAGGAACGTTCTGAGGCTCTCCGGAGACAGCAACTATTGCAGTAGCAACAGCTCTGGGAGCAGGAAGAGTATAAAAGGCAGCTGCTGGCAGAGAGGCAGAAACATATCGAGCAGCAGAAAGAACAGAGGCGGAGGCTAGAAGAGTTTTCCTTGACGGTTTTGGATGGTCCTACAAGGAAAAGTGGAGAATGCTGAGCTCACACAGAAAAGTTCATTCTGGAAGTCCCACCAACTGTCCTTTTCTGTTCCTCATAGCCTCCATGTATTTGATGATGATCCCTGAGTCTCTCCTCTGGACCCACTCATAAATGTTTTGTTTACTCTGCATATATCATCTAGATTAAAAATTCCCGCCAAATAATGATCTCCCTGCATGCAAAAGTTTTAACATTACTAATACTACTTTTTGTATTTAGAGCATTATTACCATGCCTTTGTCAATGGCTAATTTTTTTTTAATAAAAATTGTTTGTACACTAACCTTTTCCCCAATCTAATAGTTACTTGTTTGTTTTTCAGGAGAAATGAAGTCTATTTCATTGTTATTCTATCCCATATTTTTTGTGTGACTTTTTTCTGAGTCAGATTTGGTACCCATCATCTATTCCTCCTTACATACATGATGGTTAGCCTGTTTTCCTCGTTGTTTATCTTAAGTTTAATAAAAAATATGGAAATGGTGTCCTAGAAAAAGCCTGATCAGCAAGCTAAGATAAGCTTACATTAGTTGTACTTGGGGTATGATTTTGAACCTATTATGTGTATAACTAAATGTCATGTCTGCTGGTTTGTATGTCTTTATTTTGATCTCATGGAGACAGATTATTAAAAGAAAAAGAAAACTTAAAAAAAATAAAAAAATAAAAAGAGTTAGGAAGTATTCGCTCTTTAATTTTTTGGAAGAATATGAAAAGGACTGGTATTAGTTCCTTTTTAAATGTTTGGTAGAATTCATCCATGAAGTCATTAGTTTCTAAGATTTTCTTTGACAGGAGACTTTTTATTACTTATTCAATTTATTATTTGTTCATTATCATTCTTAGATTTTCTATTTCTTATTGTTGTATTGGGGATTGAACTCAGGATCTCCCTAGGCAAATGACCTATCACAGAACTACACCCTCAGGCCCCTTCTTAACTTTATTTTGAAACAGCATCTCAATAAGTTTCCCTGGCTGGCCTAGAGCTTTCAATCCTCTTGCCTTAGCCTCCTGAGTAGTTATTATAGGCATGTGACACTGCACCTGGCTATTTCTTCTTGATTCAGAGGTCATATGAGCCTAGGAATCTCCCACCAACAGTCTATAGAGGTTACGTTTTTCATACACCATTGCCAGTATTTCTTTCTTTAAAGAGGGAGGGAGGGAGGGGGGAGAGGGAGAGAGAG